CGCAGACCTGGGCTAAGAAGGAGCCCCAGATGTCATGGGAAATAATGGAGCCCTTGCTCCCTGTGGTTTAATTTTTTAAAAACACTTTTCTGCCTTTGGGGTGCCTGGGTGGCTCAGTCAATTAAGTGTCTGACTCTTTATTTTGGCTCAGGTCATGATCTCACGGTTCCTGAGATCACAACCCTCATCCGGCTCTGCGCAGACAGCGCAGGGCCTACTTGGGATTCTCTCCGTCTCTTTGCCCTTTGCCTGTTCAAGCAGTCTGTCTGTCTCTCTCTCTGCCTCTAAATAAGTAAATAAATAAATAAAATTTAATAACACTTTTCTGCCTTTTCCAAATTATCTACAAGGGACATTTATCACAATTGTAATAGTTTAAAATACCCTCAGGGTGCCTGGGTGGCTCAGTTGGTTAAGCATCTGACTTCGGCTCAGGTCATGGTCTTGCGGTTTGTAAGGTCAAGCCCTGTATCGGGCTCTGTGCTGACAGCTCAGAGAATTGGATTCTGTGTCTGCCTCTCCCCCACTCACGCTCTGTCTCTCTCTCAAAAATAAATAAACATTAAAAGAAATTTTTTTTAATGCCCTCAAAAATTTTAAACAAAGGAAAGCTTTTTACTTATTTTTTTTAATGTTTGTTTTTGAGCAAGTGCTTGTGCCTGTGCACAAGACGGGGAGGGGGAGAGAGAAAGGGAGACAGAGAATTCCAAGCAGGCTCCCACAGTCAGAGCAGAGCCCCATGCAGGGCTCAGACTGTCAGATCATGACCTGAGCCGAAATCAAGAGTTGGCTGCTTAATGAACTGAGCCACCCAGGTGCCCCAAAGCAAAGCTGTTTTAAAAAAAAATCACACGTACTGGGGTTCCTGGCTAGCTCAGTTGGTAGAGCATGCAACTGTTGCTTTCGGAGTTGTGAATTCAAGTTGCACGTTGGGCATAGAGACTACTTAAAAAAAAATGAAGGGTAGCAGAATATGCCACCCCCAAATATGCCCACCTTGGCATAAGGATTCTTTTGAGCTAAAAGCACTTGAAAAACAGCATATAAGAAGAGGGTCTTGACCTACCCTTTTCTTCCTGAGATCAGGAAATAAAACTCCCATGTAAAAGATGTCTTCCCTATACCAGGGGATAAGAAATGTTCTCAGAAAAGGGGAGTCAGACCTGAGAGAATTTTGTACAAACCTTGTTAAAAAGAATTCGTGTCTATCTATAACCTCCTCATTTATGTTACTTTTGCACAATTGCCTCTCCTTGTTCAATCTAATATGAAAGCATTTAGTTTTGCCATTTCTTTATTTCCTTATAAGAACTTCTGTGTCAGGTAAATTTCTGTTAAATTTCTAATGCCTTAATCCTGCTGACCTGTCTATGCCAATCTAATTCTCAGGCCCAGCCAGAGACGCTAACAGGGCAGAGGTAAAGTTTTGCCTCTCTACACCATGAAAGCCTTCAATACTACAGTTGTTGCAAACACGATGGTTTTGCCCAGAGCACCTGGTCAGCAGGGGCAGAAAGGATAACCTAATGTGCTATTTATTTTTGTTCTCTAAAAAGAAGGAGGCACACTTGGTTTGTTATCAAATCCAGGCTGGTTGCTTTTTCTCTTTGTGTGGAAAATTGCAGGCTCAAATCATGGCGAAGCCATCTTTGGGTCCCCAACTACACAGGGCACCTAACCCTGGAATGTGGCCGGGGTGGAGGTGGAGAGGCTTGAGGCTGCATTTCACATGTATTCTCTTATTCCGTCCTCACAGAAACCTTGTGAGGTAAAGGTAGGCAGGCAGTATTATTTCTTTACAATTTTGGGAAATGGAGGCTGAGGGAGACTGGGAGTATGACCTAGGCCCTCAGTGGAACAGCAATTCAGACCAGCGTAACAGACCGTGCTATTTTCCCTCCCGGTGGCAAGTCACTGCCTCCCAAACTGCTCTGTCCTGCAGCACAGAATTTAGACTCGTGACAGATGCAAGGCCGGAACCTTTGCGTACGCGGTTGGGAAGGCAAGGATTTTAAAATCTAACCAGCTACACCCGTGGGTGACAGTCTTTTGAATCGTTTCGAGGAATAGCTAAAATGAATTTTTCCGTTTCTCTAACAAGTGGAGTGACGTCAATAGTGACGACAAGTGACAAGAGGCGGGCATATGGAGATGAAGGGTGAGGTGACTGCGTGTTGGAGCTCATTTTTCACGAGGCAGAGTTTCCACTAAATATCCACTGGTGTGTTCTGGTCAGTGTCATGTGAATAATGCCATAGTTTCGAACCAAGGGCCTGAAGAACTTGGAATATAATTGACCATGACTGTATAGTGTGTTGAGGACGAGGGTGAAGTACCAGGCAAGTGTCAGAATTCATACTTACCTGGCAGGGGAGATACCATGATCATGAAGGTGGTTTTCCCAGGGCGAGGCTCACCCATTGCACTCCGGGTGTGCTGACCCCTGCGATTTCCCCAAATGTGGGAAACTCGACTGCATAATTTGTGGTAGTGGGGGACTGCGTTCGCGCTTTCCCCTGGCAAAAGTCCTAAAAGCAGAATTGTCATCTGGGCTATAGTTTCTCTTTCTTGCCTGCTGTGTATGGCTTGGTGGTGTGTGTTACATGTAAGTTTTAGGAGTATCTGGGTTAAGTCAGTAGTTTAGGTTTCCATTTCAGGTCATGATATTATGGAAATGACACGGTACAAAAAGATGCCTGAAATAAGTTTTATCCTGTTCATTCACGCATGCAAATTTCAGTGATTAGTGTTCTAGTGTTGGGATGTTAATTGTTCTGCAGAGGAACGTGGACAGCAAGGTTAAAGAGCTGGATAAAAGCTGTCTTACCTTGCTCCTGCAGTGCTGATTCCACACCTTGTATAGGCTTTAAGGTCCACTCCTTCCTAGAGACTATTTTTTGACAGTAAGCTCTGGTGGTTACTGGAAAAAAAGGAAGACTAGAAATACTAAGGGAATGAATGTCAATCCATGCTTCAGTTCTCAAGGGATGTATGTGTTCTGGAGTTTTAAGAAAAAATAATCCTGTGACACTGAAGTGGGTCTCAGGGTTTTTACTTATGTTTTATTTGAACTTATTATGTTAAGAATGTAGTCATGTATTTGTGTAAATGCAATTATATAAAAAATAACTTTAGAGAGATAAAAACCATTAAGATGACTATTATTAAGCGGCACCTGGTTGGCTCAGTGGGTTAAGCATTCAACTCTTGATCTCACCTCAGGTCTTTGTTGTTGTTGTTGTTTGTTTTGTTTTTAATGTTTTTTATTTATTCTTGAGAGAGAGAGAGCACGAACAGGGGAGAGGCAGAGAGAGGGAGACACAATCTAAAGCAGGCTTGGGGCTCTGAGCTGTCAGCACAGAGCCTGATGCAGGGCTCAAACCCATGAACCGTGAGATCGTAACCTGAGCCGGTCAGACGCTTAACCGACTGAGCCACCCAGGTGCCCCGAGCTCGGGTCTTGATCAGGGTCATGAGTTCAAGCCCCATGTTGGGCTCCCCAGTGTGGAGCCTACTTTAAAAAAAAAAAAAAAAAAAAAGATGGCTACTAAAGAAAAGGAAAAAAAAACAAAACAAAACAGGAAATAACACCTATTGATGAGGATCTGGAAAAACCAGACCCCTTGTATAACTGTGGTGAGAATGTAAAATGGTATAGCCAGTATAGAAAACAGTTCCTCAGAAAATTAAACATAGAGTTACCACGTGATCTAGCCATCCCACTTCTTTGGTATATACCCAAAAGAATTGAAAACAGGGGTGCCTGGCTGGCTCAGAAGAGCATGCGACTTTTGATTTTGGGGTCATGAGTTTGAGCCCCACAGTGAGTGTAGAGATTACTAGAAAAATAAGTTTAGAGTTAAAAGAAAAAGAATTGAAAATGGGATTTGAAGAGAGATTTGTACACCCATGTTCATAGCAGCGTTATTTACAATAGCCAACAGTAGAATCGACCCAAATGTCCATTGATGGATAAATAAGCAAAACATTGTATATACACACAGTGGAATATTATTCACCCTTAAAAAGGAAAGAAATTCTTAGATAAGCTTCCTGTATGGTGAAAACCTACTGAATGTGTTAGCCTTCTTGGCTTTTTCTTTTGCTTTACCTCTTTTACACCCTCTATGTCTCTCCATACAAGAAACAGTTATGCCCCTGATGTGCATGTTGTCAACTCATGTAGTTGCGGATTCCCTCTCTAATCCACTGTCCATGGAGCATCAACATGATACCTCTTGTCTGGCCCCTGCTAGACCAAGCATTTGTGATGGCAGAGATCCAATTTTAGGTGTCTTACACAGTACCTGTCACGTTTGAGACACATGGTAGGTATACCACAAACTTGATTGTATATGATGGTCAGGTGTGGTTGCAACACATGGAAACTTATAATTTCTCTGCACGGATCTTATTGTGCATACTAACAGCTAACAACTACACAGAGCTAGCTTGGTGCCAGGCACATTTCTAAGCACTTTACACATATTAGCTCATTTAAACCTCTCAGCAACCCTCTGGTTATTATTATCTCCATTTACAGATGAAGAAGTTGAGGCCTATCAGGGTTAAATAATTTCTTCAAGGTTACAGTTAAGGAGGTGACAGGGCCAGGACCAGAGCTTCGGAGTCTGAACTGTGAACTTAACCCACTACAGTATACTCTCTACATCCCCACACAGTAACTGCATTTGTGTACTAACCTTTCAAAGTTAATAGGCTCTTAGTTAATGATACAACAAACATATATATTTCTAATTTTACTTCCTAGGAGTCATCACTTTTTAGTTCTGGGAATTAGTGCTAAATATATTGTTTTTCAATTTCACCAGTAATACTGAGAATAAAATTAATCTTGTAGGGTTTCAGTAATTGTTTCCCTAATCCTGTTAATTATAAATGAAAGTGGACAAAAAGTGAAAGAAATGTGAAAGAATCTAAGTTGCGTGCTTGCATTTCTGATTCAGTTAAAATAGCATGTTGCTTTCTTTTGAAACAGGATGTCTAGGGTTGTTCATCTTCCAGTCCCCTGTCCTGTTCAACTTGGTTCCTTAAGAAATGACTCCTTGGAAGCTCAGCTTCATGAGTATGTCAAACAAGGGAACTATGTGAAAGTGAAGAAGATTCTTAAGAAAGGTAAGCACTGTACTGAAATTGCAGCACATTTCTCTCTCTCTCTCTCTTTTTTTTTTTTTTTTTTTTTTTTTTTTTTTTTTTTTTTTTTTTGTTTATTTTTGAGAGAGACAGCAGGAGCTGGGGGAAAGGTAGAGAAAGAGAGGGACAGAGGATCTGAAGGGGTCTCTGCGCTGATAGCAGAGTCTGATCGGAGCTCAAATTCACAGTGAGATCATGATCTGAGCCAAAGTTGGATGCTTAACCGACTGAGCCACCCAGGTGCCTTGGTCCACATTTCTGAACAGTGTTGGAAGGAAAATCATAAAACTCGGAGTTCTTGGAGAAATAGAAAGTTAAATTTAGAGATGAGATGTTCTCTACCAGTGCAATCATATTGCTCAGTAGAGGTTTCAAATTGTTTTTGGAGACTGTTTTGTTTTGTACTAGGGAACCATAAGTCTTCCAACTATTAGACTCCTAAGATTTCTCCTCAGGCCCCAGCCACCCACTTTTTTTTTTTTCAATAAAGTTTGTTTGTTTATTTATTTATTTTGTATTTTTTAAGCTATTGCCACACACAACACACCCACTTTTAATTCTACCTGATTAACTTTTCTTCTTCTTAAAAAAAATTTTTTTTTAACGTTTATTTATTTTTTTGAGGGACAGAGAGACAGAGTACGAGTGGGGGAGAGGCAGAGAGAAAGGGAGACACAGAATCAGAAGTGGGCTTCAGGTTCTGAGCTGTCAGCACAGAGCCCAATGCAGGGCTCGAACTCATGGACAGAGAGATCATGACCTGAGCCAAAGTTGGACACCAAACCGACTGAGCCACCTAGGTGCCCCAACTTTTCTTTAATCTACACCATCTGATGGAGTCTTCTGAAGCCTGTGGTGGAGTGAGGAGACCGGCTTTCACAGTTCTCTTCCCCCTTTGCTCCTCCAAGGCTCTTGGTGCTTTTGGTTTCCAGAGTTTTTTGTTTGTTTGTTTGTTTGTTTTGCTGGATGCTATAGGCAGCTCTGCCTACAAGGGAGATGGAAATAGCAGATGTAGCTCAGGCAATCTTCAAAAGAACAAACACACACTAAACCATACATGGACAAAACCACTGCTGGTATTTGTCCTCTATCTACAGATCCAGACCTGCTTTTTTTAGAGTAACTAGAAGTCCTGCTGAATTCCCCCCTCTCCCTACTTAGTATAAAGGGAGAGGTTTATGAAGGTTCTCTCAGCTGGTTTGTGAGACAGTCAGGATGACCTAATTTCCCTGCAATGTTTCTCCTATTTGCTTTAACGGCATTCCTGAGGACTTCCAGAAAGGTAACTCCCAATTTTTGCAGGATCCAACTATCCCACAAAATAATTCACCCAGAAGGTTCTCAAATATTTCCATGTATCAGCCCTGGAGTCTACAGATGACATAGCTGACAGTGAATTCAATAATTTATTTGAAGGGTCCTGTTGGTTTTCCCCGTCAAAATTTTGCATTTTATTCCATAACACGTTCATGTGTTTGTTAACATAAAAATGGATGTTTAGGATAGGTATGCTATGACTCCTAGTGTCTGTCTATCCACACTCTCCAGTGTGGGAAGCAGAATATTAGAACATTTATTATATCTTAGACATCTGAATGTCCTGCATCTTCAAATTCATGACACTACAGCAGGAGATGGGGTTGACAGGTATAACTGGATATGAAACAGGACTTCATCTGTGTCTGGGAATTTGATCTAAAGCCTCAGAGTAGAGAACAAGGGGTGACAAGTTCCTCCACAGTCTCAAGCAGGGCTTCTTAGGAGATAGCCAAAATAGTCCTTGGACCTTAAATTCCATCACCCACCTCGGGCCTATCTAGGAGAAGGCAGTGGGGTAGTGGTGGGGTATCAGTGGAAAAGATTCCCTAAAAGGCATTCATAGGAATAGAAAACTGTGGTTTTTTCCCCTCCTTCCCAGCTTCAAGCCAGTAAGAGGCCCTTCAGGTGAATCTCATGCAGAGAACTGTAGCACTTGAAAGCAGGATAGCTGGGAGCCTTTGTCTCAGCCTCCTGAACAGTTTAGACGTCAGCCCACACCAGCTGTCACCAAGGTGGTGTGAAGAGAACCTGGCATGTGACCTGGAATTTAGGGGTCAGGAGGATTGTCATCTGCCTCCTTCCTGGAGCTGCTCTTGATGGTTGGGTAAGCATGAGAAGCCAGCAGTTGGATTAGCTACACTACAGAGCATTCTGTTAGAAGTGGTTAGATGAGGGGCGCCTGGGTGGTGCAGTCGGTTAAGCGTCCGACTTTAGCCAGGTCACGATCTCGCGGTCCGTGAGTTCGAGCCCCGCGTCAGGCTCTGGGCTGATGGCTCAAAGCCTGGAGCCTGCTTCAGATTCTGTGTCTCCCTCTCTCTCTCTGCCCCTCCCCCGTTCATGCTCTGTCTCTCTCTGTCCCAAAAATAAAAATAAAACGTTGAAAAAAAAGAAGTGGTTAGATGAGATAAACCTGATGGTCATATTAGTCATATTAGTATGAAGCAACTGAAAAATGTGGTTCATTAAGAAAGCCATGGGCATGGCCACATGGCACTGTGCTTCCTAGCATCCTGGAAGATACGGGGCAGAAGCATTTTTACAACAGAGTTAAGTAATAAAAACAGTTAACACACATTCGTATATAAGGTGTGTTCTTTGAGGAGAAACTGGGAGTAACTTTTGCCACAGTAAATGGGTAGGCTGTTTCTGAGATTTACATACAAATCAGGAATACAAATCATTCACTACTGAACTACTTTGAGGGACGATGTACTCAGTGCTTTATTAGAGAAATTGATTTGATTGGAGACTAGACTTCCTGAGGGAGACCACTATGGCTTACCAGAAGGAAAGAATCCAGACTTAATTTAGTACCAGACATACCTAGGTTCCAACAACAGTGGTTCATTCCCCCAGCTGTGTAACTGATGTTATAGCCTGCATCTGTAAGAAAGAGAAAATAATGACACCTTTCTTCAGTTGTTTAGAGGATGAAATGAAACAACGGATTAAAGTGCCTGTCATCAAGTAGGCATTCAATAAATCATCATGGTTATGATTACTATTATGTGGTAGTAGAAGTGTACACTGGTTCTTAATTCTGCTTCTATCTCCTCGCTGCCTCTTCCCCCCTCTTCTCTCTTTCGAGTCAAAGGAAACCTGGCCTCCTCAAGTCAGCGGGACTGTAGCAAGCAAGAGGCAGTGCAACGCTAACCAGTGGCCTAAACACCGTTTTCTTAGCCTGTAGTGGGGCGGCGCGACCTGACTGGGACCCATTTGGTGCCTAGTGCGGTGGGCGGGGTAATACAGTTCCCTCTGGGCTGGAGTCGGCAGCATGCAGCGTGTGATTGGCTGCTAGGAAGCCGCATGTTAATAAGGCTTGTTACTGTTTTAAGTGTTTCTGGAAGATTTCCAGGCAAAAACTGGTATTTTGAACTTTGTCATTTGCCTGAATCGTTATGAAATAGAAAATAAGACGTATTTAAATAGGCAAATGAATTGACAAAAATGTCGCCATGACTAGAAAGTATGTGACTATCGTAGACCTGCAAGAGGTAGCGGACTTGAGGGTGAGACTATACTTTCAGGGATCATTTCTATAGTTCGCTACTAGAGAAGTTTCTCTGAATGTGTAGAGTACTCGGAACCACGAGGAGGAGGTGTAGTGTCCTTTCCTGAGCGTGAGGTTGACTCTGGGTGTTGCTTTTACAGCTGCCTTTTGTCGTTGATGATCGTTCTTCTCTTCTTTTTTTTAAGGAGAGAAAGAGGGAAAGGATACTGTCTGAGTGGTTCCTTATTGGTTAAGTATGTTTAGGAGTGAATTTTGCTGTCTTGTTCCAAGAAGTCAACTGTTGTGTGTCTAGGTGTGGTTGTTGGTAACTGACCTAGCGGTTGCATAGAGCTTTTTAGGCTTGGGCCTTTTCTTATTTATTTTTTTTAACACATGTATGGTATGTGTTTTTAGAGGGCGTTTATTTGTTTCTATGTATGGTTGTACTTTGTATTTGTTTTTCTACACTTTTGCCGCACTGGTCTTACAACTTTCTTGAGGTAGGTATTAAGCCTTACAAACTAATTTCGGGAGTACCCGGCTTTTAATTTTTTTTTTTTTTCAACGTTTATTTATTTTTGGGACAGAGAGAGACAGAGCATGAACGGGGGAGGGGCAGAGAGAGAGGGAGACACAGAATCGGAAACAGGCTCCAGGCTCTGAGCCATCAGCCCAGAGCCTGACGCGGGGCTCGAACTCACGGACCGCGAGATCGTGACCTGGCTGAAGTCGGACGCTTAACCGACTGCGCCACCCAGGTGCCCCACCAACTTTTAATTTTCTTAGTTTGTGTTACTTTCTGGGTCTTTTGGTTTTCATTACTAAATTTTGTATTAAATCCTTTGTGTGTTTTAGTTTTCAAGAGTATTTTTTAAAGATTTGTTATAATTGACATGAACGTTTGTTTCTATACAACGTGATTGTGCATTTGCCTATATTGCAAAATGATAACCACAGTGTTTAACATCTGTCACTTATACATACAGAAATTTTTCTTGTGGTGAGCATTTTTTTTAAAGATTTTAAGTAATCTCTATGCCCAAGGTGGGGCTCAGACTCAGGACACTGAAGGATCAAGAGGCACATACTGTACCCGCTCTACCCAGGGCCAGCCAGGTACCCCATGATGAGCACTTTTAAGATCTACTCTGTTAAGGGCGCTTTGATGGCTTGATTTTGGCTCGGGTCATGATCTTGCGGTTTGTGAGTTCCAGCCCCACCCCCCATCCCCCCACCAGGTTCCACGCTGAATGAGGAGCCCTGATTGGGATTCTCTTTCTCCCTTTCTCTGCCTGTTCTGCTTGTTCTCTCTCTCCCCAAATAAGTAAACTTTTTTTTTTAAGTAAAGTAAGAAAAAAACAACCCTTCCTGGGGCACCTGGCTGGCTCAGTTGGAGGAGCAGGTGACTCTTGATCTCAGAGTCTCAAGTTCGAGCCCCATGTGGAATGTAGAA